GCGTCGACTACACCAACCTGAACCGAGCTTGCCCAAAAGACTGCTTCCCCCTCCCCAGGATCGACCGCCTAGTGGATGCGACCTCGGGATATGAGCTGCTAAGCTTCTTGGACGCCTACTCGGGTTATAACCAAATCAAGATGGACCAGTCCGATGAGGAAAAAACCAGCTTCATAACCGAGTTTGGCCAATACTGTTACAAGGTCATGCCCTTCGGACTGAAGAACGCTGGAGCGACCTTCCAAAGACTTGTAAATAAACTGTTTCGACCCTTAATTGGCACGAAAGTAGAGTGTTATGTAGACGACATGGTCGTCAAGACGCAATTCTCACGGGAATTAATACAAGACTTAGATTCAGTTTTCCAAATTGTGCGTCGATTTAGCATGAAGCTAAACCCCAACAAGTGTGTCTTCGGTGTCACCTCGAGTAAGTTCCTAGGGTACATTGTCAACTGACACGGTATTGAGGCCAACCCGGACAAAGTAAAGGCTATCCTAGACATGAGACCACCTCGAAAAGTAAAAGAAGTTCAGAGGCTAAACGGCTGCATAGCCGCCTTGAGCCGCTTCATGTCCAAATCAGCAGATCGCTGTTTACCTTTCTTTATGGCAATCAAAGGCAAAGGGTTCGAATGGACCCAAGACTGCCAGCTGGCGTTCGACCAGCTAAAAAATTACCTCGCTACTATACCAACCCTGGCCAGGCCCGAGGAGGGCGAAGTCTTAGAACTGTACCTCTCAGCAAGCGACGAGGTGGCCAGTTCGGTACTTATAAAAGAAGCAGGTCGGGTCCAGCGACCTGTCTATTATGTTAGTAAAATTAAACAGCTCGGGACAAACAGCGCACCCAAGGCACGGGTGTCAAAGGAACCAGCAGTCCGAGCTCCCTACTAGGAGACCCGAGCTCCTTACAAAGAGCTCAAGCCTCACCAGGCAGTGACCCGAACTAGCCCACCTCGTGGCAGTTCGGGGCACTCCCCTATCCGAACTCAAGACTTCACCTTGCCTCGCCACTCCTGCACCCTGCCTCTCAAACGCCAGGCTGACCGAATGTACCATACCTGACACCGAGGGTGTCCGTATCCAAGGGTAGCGCACCTGACTGACTTGGGATCTGACGCTTGACAGCCGCACTTCAAACGGCTTCCTGCCACCGCCACCTGCCACCATCGTCACCAGTCGCAGAGACGGCTCCGACAAAGGGAGCAATGGCGGTTCTGCCCAGCCAGAAGGGATGACATCCGAACTGGCAAGAACTCAGAAATAACCATGCCCGATCTGACAGAGCTTGGAAGTGAGTGCGCGAGGTGGTTATAAAAGGCTCCCGACCCCCCAAGAACAAGGTATGCAAACTCTGCGTTATCTGGTTTCATCTTGCCTTTGAAGGATTTTAACTTGAGCTTCGGAGCCTCCACACCGGGTCTCCCCCGGAGCTTTTTCACCCTCTTGGTTTCAAGCTCCCCGCAGCTCCGTTCAGAGGCCAGGTCATTGACAACTAGGACCAGCTGGATCGCGCACCATCAATTTGATTAATTGTTTTTCAGAAAAAAATTCTTAAATCATGTATTAGAAATTATAAAAAGAATAATGAGAAAAAAAGCTATGGTATCAAATACAAAATAGCATATTTACGCAATACCATTTTCTGAAAAACGCTTATCAGAAAACCGTATTGATTTTAAACACCACCTTAATAATGCCTATATTTTTTTCAGAATTCTGTTTTCACCAACAAAAAACGTTATCTGTAGAAGTGGGAACGGTAGTACGGTACCACACACATCGTGGAGTAGAGAAATCCTCTCTCTCTCTCTAGCGGTTTATATTTCACTTTCTTTCTGTTATCCTTTTGTTCATCTTATGTTACACAAGTAATTTTTTTCCTCCCTTTGCTTGGGTGGGGTTCTCTCTTTGCATTCCTTTCTTGTTTCTTGATTCTACCTCTTTTTCATTTCTTTATCGGATTATCAGATTCCCCACCAGCATTTCTTGCTCCTTTCTTCAACCTATATTCCATGTTATTGGGTTTGTCTGGTCTGGTTGGATCACAAGGATCTCTCGTTGTCTTTCTATTATCTGAGGAGACAGACAGAGAGAGAGGAGGGGAGAGGTGGGGCTTACTTTCTGAACCTTTTCTTTTGGGGCTCGAAAGTCGAATCTTGGGACACGGTGGAAGAAGGTGAGATTTCGGAGGCTCGTTTCCGTAGGTTCAGATCGGCTCGGGTGCCTGGCATAGTGGGTTTCTTGTTGATTTCGGCGTTTCTTCTGGTAATCCTGAACTAAGTTTGGTTCATCTCGGTGGAAGGTTGTGAGTTGGGATAGATTTTTCATTTCTTTTGGTTACTGAAATTGGCCTTATATGTTCTTTGTTTCTGTTCGATTTGGGGCGTTGTGTGGATAATTGGATGCTGGGTTGTCACTTCTGGTTGTTGGCCTGTATCTTCGGAGTTGATTTTGGCTGCTCTTTAAGTTTATTCATCATATTCAATTGCTTTCTTTGCTATCGTTGGGTGAATTTAGATGATTTGAATTGGGCTTGATTCTACCGGAATTCTGTAGTGATCTCAATATCTTCAAACATGGCGGGAATAGATATTTCTAAATACGCTCACAGTCCTGTTCATAAGGCTGTAGCTACGAGGGATTACACTGCTCTTAAGAGGATACTTTCCGGTCTCCCCCGTCTGTGCAACCCCGATGAGATTCGAACTGAGGCAGCTTCATTTGCAGAGGAAGCGAAGGCCGATGCCATCTCTGCTGTTATTGACCGTAGGGATGTCCCTAACCGAGAGACCCCACTCCACCTGGCTGTTAAACTCGGAGATGAAACTACGATTGAAATGCTTATGGTTGCGGGAGCAGACTGGAGCTTACAGAACGAACAGGGCTGGAGTGCGCTACAGGAAGCGATCTGCAGAAGGGAAGAAGGAATCGCCAGGATTATAGTTAGGCACTACCAGCCGTTAGCATGGGCAAAATGGTGTCGTAGGCTTCCCCGCCTTATAGGGACTATGAGGAGGATGAAGGATTTTTACATGGAGATCACGTTCAACTTTGAGAGCTCGGTAATTCCTTTCATAGCAAGGATTGCACCTTCAGACACCTACAAGATTTGGAAGAGGGGGGCCAATTTGAGAGCAGATATGACTTTGGCTGGTTTTGATGGCTTCAAGATCCAGCGTTCGGATCAGAGTATTCTGTTCCTTGGAGATGGCTCTGAGGATGGGAAGGTCCCTCCTGGGACTCTCTGCATGATTTCACACAAGGATAAGGAGGTAATGAATGCTTTGGATGGTGCCGGTTCTCAGGCAAGTGAAGAAGAGGTTCAACAGGAAGTGGCTGCAATGTCTCGGACTAATATTTTCAGGCCTGGAATTGATGTGACTCAGGCAGTGTTACTGCCACAGTTGACATGGAGAAGGCAGGAGAAGACAGATATGGTTGGCCCTTGGAAGTGTAAGGTGTACGATATGCACAATGTAGTGGTAAGCATCAAGTCCAGACAGGTTCCTGGAGCAATGACAGATGATGAATTTTTCAGTTCTTGTAATGAAAATGACACAGAGAGCGAAGAGTTTGAGGACCTCTTGACAGAGGATGAAAAAAGGCAATTAGAAGTTGCCCTAAAAATGGATTCATCAGATATAACAATTGAAGATGGTCTTTCTGATGGGATCATTGCCCATCGGCACAGTTGCTATGAACCACGTGAGATCCCTATTGAAGATTCTCATAGTTGTGGCAATGGTGAGGTTAAGCAGGAGAAGAAAGGGTGGTTTGGTGGCTGGAGAAAGCGGGATGCCAAACATGAAGGGCCAAAGAAGATGACACCACAAAGAAGTTCCCTCTGTGTGGATGACAAGGTAGGAGATCTCCTTGGGGATTCTCCCCCAGGGTATCAGAACAAACAGGGAAGACACTCCATAGAGGTTCCTGTAAGGGGGGATGAACTCCAGAGAGGGAGAGAGACAAAAAGGTCTTCTTCGAGTTCTGATCATGGACATCGACGCAAGGATAACAACCATGAGAGTGAGTACAAGAAAGGATTGCGACCTACTTTGTGGCTTTCTCCCAATTTCCCACTCCAAACTGAAGAACTGCTACCTTTGCTTGACATTCTTGCTAACAAGGTCAAGGCAATCCGTCGTTTAAGAGAATTACTTACAACAAAACTTCCTCCGGGAACTTTTCCAGTCAAGGTTGGTGACATTCTTAACTATTTTAGTTGATTACTTACAATAAAGCTTTCTTTTTCCTGAACTGCTTGAATTCCATTTCATTTGTTTACAAAGATCTCTTTTCTTTAAACTTTAATCTATTATTTTACCTCATAGCTTTTGTGCACGACTTAGATACCATTAAATTAGCATTTAAAAAAGGAATCTCCAACCCACTATTTTATTCTTTCTTGTCATTGTTGTTTGTTTTAATTCTTATGATTCTATCTATGTTACATCTTTAAAGAACACTATTGACTTACTATAGGTCGCATGTTCAATTGAATAAATAAGATGAGAGAGTTGGTAAAAATTCTCTTTCATCATAAGTAATTAATTCCAGTATGTTATTATAAACCTTCAACCTGATTAAAGCTTATGAGCTTGAATTCTTTTTGCAATAACCTTGAATAAAATATTCTCAATGAACATTATTTTTCAATGTTTCTTCTCTAACCATTAAGCTTTTGTTCATAACTACTTTGAAATGTGAATATTGAGCAAATTGAACCATGATAGATCATAGCAGCAGAATGCAGATATTGTTCATTAACTTTGTAATTTATCTATGATAAGGATAGAAGTATAGAACCCATGTAAGAGGTTCTATTGATAATTTGATATATATATATATATATATATAAAGATGTAGGATGCTCTATTTGTGAAATTGGAGGATTACATGGTTTGTGTATGAGTATTGTTTCCTCCTCCCTTATAGATCATTGAAGTTATTCTTAAACTATGAGGCCATTTATCAGACCAAATTCCATGTGTCTGGGTATTCCTTCTTTTAGGAACTTAAACCATGGTTGAGGGAGGTGCTAAGGCAGTCTAAGAACACAAAGCATTGATTGTAAAATCCATTTTCATCCATAAAACTCCAGTTGAAGATTCATGTGCAATTGCATGTCATAGAAATATTTATTTATGAATATGTTCCATCCTGTTTTTTAGCTTTAAGATAATCGGCAAGGTTGCTAGAAAGGGATACATTTGCAGGGATGGAATGACCTTAAGGAAGAAATTTGTTCATTGTGGAGTGCTTTATGAAAGGTGACTTCCAGATGAAAAACTTGTCAATCATGTCCAATTAAATTGCAAATGTTTGTCAGATAAAGCTTGTCTTAGACCGTCAGTTTCCTTACTGTTGAATTTATTATAAAATTGAAATTAACCTCTCCTAGGACCTTTCTATTGTAGATGAACCACTTATACCTGGTATACATATTAATTAATGCATAGTGTCCAAGGGTCAATAGAAGCTATCAGGGAACCCAAGTGACCTACAGAACTTGGGATGATAAGACTAGTCTATTCTGTCACTTTATCTTGTTCTCCATTTCTGCTTCAATCTTTCAAGTCTCATCAGAAGGGAGCAGTATGAGAAAGTAACCATCTACAAAAGTGTGAACCTTTTTATTACATGTCATCATCATCCATGCCTTATCCCAACTATATGGGGTTGGCTACATGGATCCTGTTTCACCATTCCGTTCTATTTAAAACTATATCCACTTTTAAATTATTAGTGCTTAAATAATTTCTTACTACGTCTGCCCATGACCTTTTTGGTCTAAACCTAGTTCTTCTAGCCCCTTCCACAAACAGGTCCCTGTTATGTTAAGATAGTTTACCTCTCCCTATCTTGTAATTTTTAATATTTCTATTTGCTATTTGAAGTTCTGTTATTGATAAAAAACAGTCTTGTAATTTTTCCATTTTCTACAAACTTCATTTTTTTCCATTCTTATTTTTCTAAAAAATGTTGCAAGGATGAAATCCATAAGGAAGCATTGAAAAAAGCTTTCAAAGAAAATGCTTGATGTGATTATATAATCCTGAGCAGTTTACCTGAGCAACATTTTATTACTTATTTCAAATTGTTTTGGTAGTGTATCTAAAATTGGACAAATTTGTCAAAAATAGTTGGTGTTGACAATACTAATCGTTTCTGAGACGCTATTAAATTTTGTTTTCATCATTCCTATTTTGTTATTTTTTGGTTTTACTTACTCTTGAGTTTTGAAAATAGAAGAACTTTTGACAATCAATTGATCAGCCAAGAGAGTGATCGGCAGAATTATTACCGACATGAGATTTGAGAAGGGAGACAAATATGTGAAAATTGTTTTTGAAAATGCTTAGCATAACAGGGACCTGTTTGTGGGGCTGGGTTCTAGAAGAGCTGAGTATGATAGGTTATTGCCTATCTCATGAGCCAATTAGAGGTGACTTGGTCCTCCAGAAAAAAGTGAAGAGGGAGAGAGGGAGAAATGAGAGGGAAAATTGGTTAACTACTGTTTGCCTTTGTAGGGACACCCCCACGATTTATATAGGGAGCTCATTCCAGAAGATTCTAGTAGCTTTGATTGATTAGTTGGTCTTGGGCTTCAGGTGTCGCAGCTTCCTTACATACACCTTCCTGATGATGGGCCTGGAAGCAGAATTCTCACTTGGAATTGGCTTGACTGAGCTGGTCTTTGGCTGGGCTCTAACATCCCCCCCCCCCACCTCAAGAGGGCTAATTGAAATAACTGCTGTGCCAGGGCTGAGCAGGACTCCCATGTAGCATCTTCCTTTGGAAGCCTTGCCCAAACCACCAAGGCTTCTTTGAAAATTTTTCTTCCAATCTTCACCCTTCATAGCCAAGTATCTGTTCAGGATGAAGGTCCAGCTTACAATCTTTCAGATTTGGTAGAGTGGTGCCACATACCACTTGAGGACCTAAATGCTTCTTCAATAGAGAAATGTGGAACGCAGGATGTAGTCTTGCAAAGTCAGGGAGGTTGAGCCGATAAGTTACTGTGCTGACCTTTTCAAGAATCTTAAAGGGGTCGCAAAATCAAGGGGAGAGTTTGTGCCAAATTGCTTAGCTATAGAAGCTTGTCTGTAAGGGTACAATTTAAGTTACACCCAATCTCCACTGTTGAACTCTTGTGATCTGTGTTTCTTGTCATACTGTTACTTCATCTGCGGTTGTGCTTTAAGCAGGTTCCTCTTGAGGGACGCAAGACCTCATGACCTGTGAGGTAGTGGTAACTAGTGGAGTGGTGCAGCTTAGAGTTTTGAAGCTTAAAATACTTTGTCCAAAATCTGCTAAGAAAAGTGGGGTCTCTATCTGAAACTATTGCTCGTGGGGTTCCATGCAATCTGGTAACTTCTTGTATGAAAGCTTCAACATCCATGGCTGTTCTATAAGGATGCGACAAGGGAATGAAATGAGAGTACTTTGAATGACTACTACCACTATCACAGACTTTCAAACTGGAAGCCCTGATATGAAGTCATTGAAACTGCATCCCAGACTTGCTCTGGAATCTTCAATGGCTGAAGTAAATATGCCGGTGCTTGCACTTCATATTTCTGCTACTGGCATTCCTGGCATGGGGATACAAACTGTTTGATAGTCTTCTTCATTCCCACCCAGAAGTAATGAGAGGATATGCATTTGTAAGTCCTGAGAATCCCAGAGTGACCTGCTTCAAGAGAGCAATGAAATAGGTGGAGCAATTTGGGCATATGCTGAGAGGAAGCTGGAATCACTAGGTGGCCTTTATTAGAGGTGTAAAACGGGCCATGCCGGCCCGTGGGCGGCCTGCACAAAGTGCAGGACGTGCCACCCTCCCCTGGGATAACTTGGGGGGTCGCGGCCTGGCAAGGCCCACGGCCCAGGCCTGTGCGGGCCCGTGCCATGCCATGCCATGCTGTGGGCCAGGCTGGCCCATGGGCCGAGCCTTGGGCAAGGTCAGGCCGTGCACCGGGCCAAAGCTATTTATTTAAAAAAATTGACAAAAAACTTAAAATTTTAATTTTATATGAATTTTGATGTATATAATTGCTTATATATACAATAATTAAATAAATTAGTATAATAAAATAAAAAAAAAAAAATTATTTCATTAATATATTATATAATTATAATTTATATAATATTATATATAATATAATATATATATTATTATATAATATTCATGGGCTGGTTAGAATTGTTGCTGAAGTCCATGCACTGAGGTGGGTTTTGAGAATTGGGCTTTGATCCCTATTAGTCCTGAGTCTGTTCAACTTTCCTCTTGTAGATGGGCTAGGCCCACTAATGCCATAACCAGCATTGGGTGCATGGATTTTACTCCTATCCTTATTTCTTCTCTAAGACCTCCAATGAAATAGCCCAAGAGGGCCTTCTACAGCCCAGCCATGAACTCGCGTGGAAAGTTTCTCAAATTCAATCTAGTATTCCCTGATTGAACCAAGTTGCTTAGTCTTTGATAAAGACTCGTAATAATCTTCATAACCAGTAGGTTCAAATCTTATGTAAAGGGCTTCTGTAAACTCAGACCAGGAGACCTGGGGATGAGATCTGTGGTACCACTGTTACCACAATATCGCCTCTCCTTCAAGATGAAACAAGGGAATAGAGACTCTTTGATGACTGGGAATTTCATGGTATTTGAAGTACCTTTTGCTTTGAACATCCATGGCTTGGGATCGCCTCCAATGTATATAGGGAAGTCTAACTTAGCAAGTCTTCTGATCACCACTGCACTCTGTCTGTCTGCACTTCTTGAACTTGAGCCCTCCAGATCTACTTCTCGTCCTCCAGCAGAGTTTGCTTTCTCCATCTGCACCATCACGATCGACAGAGTTTCCTTTAATTATTGCAGATCTCCAGACACCTTATGCAGGTGGACCTCCATTTGATCTACTCGGTCTTCCACAGTTCCCGATTTGGTGGTGTTAGGCATTGTTGTGTTGGGGCTCTGATACCAATTTGATAGGTTATTGCCTATCTCAGGAGCCAATTCGAGGTGACTTGGTCCTTCAGAAACAGAGCAAAGAGGGTGAGAGAGAGAGAGAGAGGAGAGGGAAAATTGGTTAACTATTGCTTGCCTTTCTGGGGACACCCCCAAGACTTGTATAGGGAGCTAATACATGCCCCTATGCTTTTTGATCAATAACTTAGCATCAATTTTATTAAGTAG